TATGTCCAAGTTCTTGAACTTTTTCAACTGTAACATCTTTAGCATGAATAGCTGTTCCAAGGAGAGTATTTGTCGTGTTTTCAGCAGCATCTTTAACTTCATCAGCTTTCTTTGAAGCACTATCAGCTAATTGAGCGCCTAAAAATGAAATAAATTCGTTTGAAGAATTAAATAAGTTATATATATATATATACCAGTTTCTTTAGCTTGTTCGACTTTTTCATTTACTTTTGGTTTTAATTCATCAGCTTTTTTATTTGCAGCATCTTTTACTTCATCAACCTTTCCTTTAGCTGCATCGGCAGCTGCGCCAGCCTTCTCTTTTACTTCAGCACCTGGTAGTTAAAATTAGATATAGATTACAAGAGTTAGAAGATTTTCTTTCTTTTTATACCTTTTTGTTCTGCTTGCTGTTTCAATTCAGTTCCTTTTTGCTGAGCATCTTGTTTTAGTTGTTCTCCAGTTTTTTGCCCTATTTGAAGACAAACAATAAAAATTCATTGAAAATAAATATTTATAAAAGAAAAAAAAAGAACAATTCGATCAGTAATTGAGGTTTTCTTTTTAAACATTTACTTAAATAAAATTCATGATATAAAATAAATTAGGCATACATCGAGTTCGAACGCTGAAGATTCGATAAGTGCGAATTCGACCTTACATCTTAAAAAGAAGCCAACCATATTTCAGAATACTCGAACTTGATCAAAACTCAAGATTCGCCTATGAATATTCATATACCTCAAAAAACATTTAGACAATCACCTAAATATTCAACACTGTCTGACGTGGTATGATAGTGCCCAAACATCGAATTAGAGTTCATGTTAAGCACATGCCTGAACTGAACTTATATATTCGTGTTCATAAAATTTGATTTTAACTTACCTTGATTCTGTGCACCAGAAACATTTGCATTCCAGTTAGTGTTTGACATCGTTTTGTATGTAAATTAATCAGAAAAGAATATCTGAAAATAATTAAAAACAACAAAATAATATTGGCCTTGGAGTCTGAATACATGTTATTGTATGACGAATAAATGCGTACACGTCTACGTTTACTTCTATTTATATATTCTCACTATTTTGAAACGAAACGGCGTACGTTAGTCAGCCGGTCCGAGTTTATTCTCGACTGAATTGAATCATACTCGTAGAAAAAAAGAGGGAGAAAAAAAAACAAGATTTTGATATAGTTGCTTAAATGCATTACATTAGCATTTTTTTTTCTTCTTCTTCTTCTTTTTTCTCGCGTACAAATACTACTGCTACTCGTCGACTGCATTTAACGGCCGTCCGAATGAAGAAAAGAAAAAGTTATAGATAATAAGAAAAGCGCGCGAGAGACGACGACAAACGCTGTTACCACGTGATGATTAAGTCAGAGAGTTAAAGCCAATCCAAATAGGGCATTTTTTTTCTCTATATGAAGTAATCATGGCAATAGACCAAGATTCTGTTTCATCAAATGGCTCAGTTTTTTTTTCCTTTATGTTCTTGATTTGTTACATCGCCTGTAATGCGTACTCGTTCTGTAGTCATGAAAAAGAAGCCAACGACGCAATGCGCGTATACCCCCTAAACTTATAAAAAATGCAAGAATATCAAATAAAAGTGTGACACGCATGTGTACGTGTCTTTATTTTCAAAGTAAATAGAAAGCACAAGAAAAAAAAGAAAAAAAAAAAAGAAACGGCGACATTTTCTTTCATTGTTAAATTATATTCAAATTAACAACCTTGAAAATTAGCTTCTCGTTTTTCTCGAAAAGCATTTCGACCTTCAATAATATCATTAGAATTTCGACATGCATCAATAACGTTTTTTATAGCTAAATCATCATTTCTATTTTCAATCATTAATTTAATTGAACGTACGGATAATGGAGCATTACATGATATTTTTCGAGCTAAATCAAATACATATTGATCTAAACTATCATGATTATCAGTGACATATTGAATTAATCCTATAGAATAAGCTTGTTGAGCAGATATTCGATCACCTGTATAAAGTATCATTTTAGCATGAGATTCACCAACTAATTTAATTAAACGATCAATTATATCTTTTGGACATGCTAAACCTAATTTAACAGCTGGTATACTAAAAAGAGCATTTTGACATGCAATACGAATATCAACATGCATAGCTAATGCAAGACCACCACCTAAACAATAACCATTTATTTTTGCAATAATAGGTAATGGAAATTGAAGAAGTTTAATACGTATATTTGGTATTGTATGATCAATATCTTCATCTTCTTTTTCGGATAAATCAGCACCTGAACAAAATGATATTTGACCTTGACCAGTTAATATTAATACACGTATAGTTTTATAATTAAGAAGACAATCATCTAATAAATTTGATAAATCTAACCACATTTGACGTGATATTGCATTACGTTTTGATGGATTATTTATTGTAATACATCCAATATGAGATGATTTATCGATAATATTGAATAAAATAAGACCAGACGCATATTCTTTTGTAAAAAAAGATTCACTCATTTTTGTCTATAATATATAGAGAATCGATTATGTATACTTATTATTAAATTATTTTTAATTCTTTTTCTTTTTATCAAAATAGTATATAAATAGATCAAAAACAAAAACAAAAGATAACATAAAATATAAAAATTTTATTTCTAGGTATACTTGAATTTAATCCTCAATTAGCTGGTCAAGATATAACTCCAGCTAATCTTGAATTTGGTTCAATAGCATCTCGTCGTCGTGATCGTCGAGGAAAATCGTTTAGTAGTGCATCTGCAGCATATCATGGTTAAATTTGAAATATTCAATTATTTGAAATATTATTTTTCTAATGTAGGTAATCAACCTCCATTTTATTCTCATCAACCATCATTATTTACACCAACGAATGATGAATTAGTTCCATTGGTTTGTATAATAAAAATTCTAAGGTTTTTAATGATTTGTTTTTCTTTTTCTTTTGTGTAGGCACGCCAATCTCAATCGTTTGATCCATATCAATCAAGTGTTGAATATCGTTTACAAGAGTTAGCTAAGTAATTATTTATTCATTAATTTTCTTAAAATAATTTTTGTTTTAATATTTATTTAGACGATTATCCACATTAGAAACAAAATTAACTGAAGATGTATCTACTGTTCTTTCAATACTTCGACGTCAATTTCCAACAAATAATTTATCAATATCTTTATCTTCAAATGATATATTCAAAACTAATTCTTAAAAAAATAAAATAAAATAAAATCTTCTGTGATAATTTATTTCTCGCGCGCTCTCTCTCTCTTTCTACCCCCTTCTTGTGTTTTTTTTTGCACATTGAAAATCTTGAACTGATAAAAAAAGGAAAAAAAATATGGATTAATTTTATCTCTTATATGTTTGTGTTTATATAAGTTCCGTCCTTCTGTTACCCCTTAATACCTTCACGTCGACCGATAGCAATATGTATTTTGTTTTGTGTACTAAATAAAAAGAAAAACAACTGCAATATGATATTAATGAAATGATCTGCTGATTGACGCTTCGAATGCGCTTATCTTTTCATGGTTATTACTAAATGCACTATGCGATGATTTTTTTTTATAATCGAATCATATATTAAGATTTATATATATTCAGAATCAGCGTAATTTAAATAGCATTACTGCTAACAATATTATACTGTCCATTTTTAGAAAAATTAATAGATGACGCTCTATGCTGATTATCTCTGTGGTCGACGCAGAATGTTATACTATTACAATGCATGAGAAATTTTTAACTCTTGAAAAATCCCTAGATTTAAGTGGATATCACGACTTTCTATATTTGTGAATGCACTTCAGCTGCCTGTATGAGATACGCACTTTATCGAATCAAAATTCGACAGCTTATTCAAATCTCAATATGAACTCAAGGTTTTTTAGAATTTTTATTAGAGCACTATGCTGTATCTATATGCACAAAATCATTGAAATCGGAAGAGAATAACTGAAGAAGTTCCACTCGTGAGTTTAGTTATTTATGATAAAGATGACGCTAATTAATGATACTAACAAAATAGAGAAAATAAAAATGATCAACATGCAGATATGATACGAGTACATTGTAAGTTATGTCTATTTTTTCTGTAAAATTGTCTTTTTAATTAATCCAGTTATAAAATAATCTGAATAAGTGCATTAATAGGTTCGTTTTTAGAAATGATGAAATGCGTCATCCGCATGAACTAATAGATCATAACCATTACTTGTAGACTTTTTTAAACGGTGCTCACAATCATTTCAAGAAAAAACAGTACCGAAGAAAAAAAATTTAAAGACAAAAAAAGAAGATAGCATGACATAGAGAGCGATGTATGTTGTTATCTGAGATCAGAGCTGGGCATTTCCATGGAAACAATTCAAATTGGGATTTCCTAAACTATCTGATGTAGACAGTTTAGAAGATCCCAGTTTGAATTGTTTCCATGAAGATACCCAACTCTGATCTGACATACAGCGAAACCAAAAATATTAACAAGAAAAGTTTAAAAACCGATGACTAATCATCTATTAAATCATAAAAGTTAGAAGTTGGAATGAAACGGATAATATATACACATGAATAGGTCATTCAACCATGAATATCATTTTTATCTTCTTTGACGGTATTTATATCATCGTCCCCGCCTATGAATGTTATCGTTCTCAAAGTATATCAACAGTAGAAATGAGTATATTCGAACGATAACATGTTTTATTTAATTCTTCAATTGTCATTCAAATTACTTGTGTTGTATTCCTATTTGAATAAAATGTTATCGTCCGAACAAAAATGCAACTTAAAATTATGTTTGAAAATAATGAAGAAGAAAAACTAAAATTAAATATTATTCTTCATTTTGTGATTGAAAACAATTTTCTTTTTACTTTTTTACTAACATCATCAACGATCAGGCCTTAACTCAGGATAAAAAAATAAATAAATCTCTCCAATTGCGTATGGAAATAAATTTTGAACTTAAACGATGCCAAGGTAGATTAAAGCAGTGTTTTCCAGTCAATTATTCTTTTTTTGAAAAGGTAATCAACAGTATCAATACACTTGAACAAGCCATCGATTCAACTGAACTTCAAGTTATGAAAATGTAAAATTTGATTCTTGTCTTTTTTTTTAATGTTTGAAAATGACTTTATTCTTCAGAATAAAGATGAGAAAGAGAATTTTATCTTTATTCAGGTATTTATAATTAGGATAACAGTTGCTACAATTGAAACTGAAACAACAACAATAACAACAAAGAGATTTCGATAGAATCGGAACTAAAAATCTAAACAATACCATTTTATTTTTCATATGTCTATAGAAAAGTACGTTTATTTATTCTTCTTTCCAATGAAAAGATCTTTTCTAATCAATGATAATTATAAATACAGAAAAAAACAGAATACTAGCTCACATTTAAATCTGTTTTGTTTTTCTCAAAAAAAAGTTTTTTTTCTGTGTATTATTTTGTCAACAGCAATGTCAAACGTACAAAAAAATGTTCACTTTACCTAAAATCTGCTAAGAATACTTGGGACTTTGCATACCTAATGAAATATCACGTATATCAGTAGTTATAGAAAAAACAAAATAGAAATACTCCAGCAGTGAATATTTCTTTCTTCCAGCGGACTTTTCATATGAACTGATTCATTCAGATAAATATAAGAAAAATTTGAATAAATTGAAAGCAAATGGACAAATTTATAATATATATCTATATATGAGAGATAAACTGATATTCCTTTTTTTCCTCTTAAAGAAAATAATGATAATCCTTTGAAAAAAGGAAAGTCCTTCTGTTAAGAGAAAATTGATGCATGATGATAAGTAAAGTCCGTTGAGTAAAAAGAAAGTTCCGCTGAGAAATAGAAAAGTTGGGTATACTATCACTGTGGCATAAACTTAGTGTTCTTTTGATTGACTAGTAAAGTCCTTCTATTCACTTGCAGACTTTAGGCAAAGTGAACAATTTCGGAATCTTTCACAGCCTTCCGATGAACAGCTAATCTAAATATTTTTAATAAAACAAAAAATTTTACAGAAATTTGTACCAAGGCTCACTTTTTAAAAGAAACAGTTTACACAGTTAAATTCGAAAACGTATCAAATTATTTATCGTTTCCAATGTCAATAATAACTATGGTTGAAATATAACAAATAAAAATTTAATTTTGATGTTATGAAAAATCTGAGATTTATATCTCAAATCGTTTAAACATATTTGACTTAAATATTTTAATTAAAAAAAGAAGCTTTTTCTTTTAAAACTTAATTAATTTTCATTTATTTCTTTTACTACAAAAAGAAAACATTCAATTAGAAACTTCTTTTACGTAGCACGAGTTTTTAATATTTATTTATGAATTACGATGAATAGATTAACCTTTTGACGGTGGAGTTTTTTTTTTCGGAAAAGAAAATGTAATTTCATTGTCAAAATTCATGATACTTTGTGTATTATTTAAGATCATAATTATTCTATTGAGTCGTCGTTTAAAGATATATCTCATTTATTTTCGAATAACAAAACCTCTAAGATAACTGCCATGTAGCATATAGAAACAAAATATATGAGCAAATAAAAAACTAAAAATACTATAAAGTGTGAAATTACTCAAAAAAGGCCTACATTACAAGTTTTACACGTATAACGTAAATTCATTCTCTTTTTTTGTCTTCTATTTGTATTAGTACATACAATACAAATTTCCTGAAGACTCTTTTGTCTGTTGTTTGATGTACAAGAGAAGAAAAGCGTCTAGCTGTAAGTCTAGTTGGTTTAGAATCCAGTATACTGTATAAAGTTGCTACTGCCAACATGTATATTTAAGCATAAAATATATACCAAAAAGCGTCCTGCTTTGGTATAATTAAGGGCATTTTTCATTAACTAAATTTTGAAAACGTAAATTTAGCGACTTCGCCGCCAAAGGATTAAAACAGAATTTAATTCTTGTTTATAGTTAAATTTGAATTCTGTTCACATGCAAACTAAACTACTCTACAAAAAATCTTTTTTTTTAAAATATTGTCTAAAATAAGAAATCAATCGATTTTGGATAGAGATATTTTTATTTTCTTATTTTTTAGGTTATATTAAATTGACAGTTGTTCGTCATTAACTTTTCTTTCAAATTCAAGAATTTAATAGTTTTTTCAATGTTAAATATGGAACATAAGTTGATTGCTTCAAACGACCTCAGATGAATCACATACACTTTTATGTGAAGATCATAGTAATCTTCATAACCTTGGAGAAAATAATCTAATTATTTTTTAGAATTAACAAATATATTTTTTCTTGCATAGATCGACATCTATAATAAAGAAAAGCTAATTTTTATTGGTTCTATTCGTATTAACCAATCGAATTGATTCTCAACTGGACAAAGCAACGCGTCTTTTTTTTTACCAATTGAATCGTGGAACGTTTGTTTTTTTTTACATTACAATAATCGTATATCGGTAATAGTGTTGATTGGAATGTAGTGAAATTGGAATTGAATCACAAATGACTGATAAAGTTAAAAAACATATCTACTTTATGTTCATCAAGTATATGGAAGTTATTGTGATATTTCGTGATCCAAATTGATTTTATACCAATAAATGATGAGATAATATTCATGAATGTATATTAGCAGGTAAATACATAGTAAAAATTTATTATTCCTACTTCATTCATTTTCTTTTTTTATTACTTTTAATGATTATGATTATTTCACACATCGCATTGATAATGTTAAACAGATTCTTGTTGAAATTTCAATAATATCTTCTCGAATCTTCATTGCTTTTTTTTAACCAACAGGTTCACCATGTAACTTTGCAGAAAATCTCGTAATAAGTTTTACTATAGCGGATTACATTGGAAGATTCTGTGTGAAAGACGATGAGACAAGAATGTAGCGATTTTTCAAAAAGCTTGTTTTGCACAAAAATTAATCCATACTTTTATTAGTCTAACAAGTGTCTAGGTAATTGACTGAAAGCAAGTTTTTCTATGTTTTTAATTGTATAGTATGTCAGTGTACCCAGTAAAGCTTTTAAAGAGCTGAATGCTTTCCTTACGTGTACATGTCAAGTCAAATAATTGAATGTAAATAAATTTCGTTGCTTGAGCTGGCATTGCTCTTTATATAGAACAAAAAGTGAATAGTCAAGAACAATATTATGATAGAAAGGGACGAGTTTTACAATGTTCACATCAAAGTT